CCCCTTTCTTCATGTAGTATCATTAACCTCAATCTTAAGAACTAATTATTTTGTTTTTGTCTCTAATTTTACTTCTTGATTACATCACTTGCTATGCATGACCTATAGTTTCTAACGTATATTACGTAACTTCATCCCGCTCTCTCGTCTTAGCTCACAACCTTCATTTAATCTGCTCATCTCTCGATCGTTGTCTATTTGACCTTTGTGTTCTCACCCCCTCCCCATCCACGACTATTACTGCAGCCTTGCCATACTCGTTTGCTCTGTTTGCTCGCCCCTGCCATCGTTACTAACTGAGCTCTAATCAGCCAATCAGATATCGTTAATATCATCACCTTATATAGGTAAACGCCCGATGCGATATATCGGAAAGAAATTTCTTCGCGAATAACGTTTTCTACATCGTCCATGGGACTATTTTACGATTACAATCTCTATATTTTTACAATTGTATGGGAAACCTGAGACCTCTGTGCCTTCAGTTACGCAAACTCAGGCAATGCCGAACCCCAAAGTTAGTCCTCTTTTCGTGCATTAGTAATCCCGATCGATTTATTGATCACAAAACTCATCGATGATCACATCAACTCTTGTGTTAAATTTACCAATAAGATTCTAGATGACCCCCTTCGTCCACTGCATCTCGGTCTATCATCTGACCGTTCCTATCCGTCCACAAGCTCCTCAGTTCGTCATCTACCCTCTCGCATTAACATTTATAAAAATTCGCCCGTACCCTACCTGGCCCGACTCCTAACTAAAGGGGAACAGGTCGCAAGTGAACTACGTCAAACGTTTTGCACATGAAACAAACTTCAGGGACATTAGTTACCTTGCGTGTTATATGAAACTGCATATTTCATTCTGTGTGGCGAACAGTGTGCATTTTTAACTGAAATGTAAGCACATAACCTTCCCCAGGTTACACAAATACAAATGTTATCCAAAGGGGTACAAATGAAATACCGAAGATTCGCGCCTTAAATGGTTAACAGCAGAGTTCAACTTTAGTGGTGCGTATTTGATGATGATGATGTTTCGAATTTATTATACAAACTGCAAACAAAACAAATTGGCAACCACATGAGCGAACAAGATTACTGATGGATGGTAAAAAACACGCAACTTTAAAATTTCAGTCGAGGCCTCCAAAACGAGATACAACATACACAAGACGAATTACCAAATTGTTAGGTGTAACTAATGGTGGCTCCAATCCTGAGCACAACCCAACTGGTCTCCAAAGTTAACCTTTGGA